TCTTTTCCTGACCCAGCTTCCTGGGGCACTTGGGCAGTTCCCTACTTACCATGGTGCTTTCAGTGGTGCTCACGTCCCTTCTAGACTAGTACAGCAGCTATGGATGTTGATGCTCCCACTGCTGTCTTGCTTCTAAGCAGCTTGGCAACAAGGAGCTCAGTCCATGCATGGTACCTCCAGAAAGTATCTTTGAGCATCATAGTGCAGGAGGAGGTCACAATCACCCCTGGCAACCTCCCCTGCTCTCCTGCTTTCTTGCCCATTGACATCAATGGACAGTCACCCAGTTTTTGGAGGTGGGTTTCATAGGATCCATCTGCACTATATTAATTCAAAAAGTGTGTCTTCTCCATCTTCAGCTTGTTTTATGAAATCACTTAAGTGCTCATATGCATAGACAAAAATGCAAAAAAAAACCCCAACCATTCTATCTTCTCCCTATACTTTATGGATTCCAATAAAAACATATGAGAACCCCATGGTTCAAAAACACAATTTCTGGTGGGTTTTCTTATCTGAACATAACATAAAGATCTGTCTCACTATCGCTGAATGCTGGTCTCGTTTTCATCCACAATTCATTCTAGAACAAAGATCCTGAGCTCTGAGCTCCACCAGGCTGTATCCAAGATGGGTGGCTCTTGTTTGACAGCACAGCAATTAGAGAATCAGCCAAATAGGAAAATTAACGAGTTTCACCATTGCTTTGCTTGGACAGTTTTAATTAAGAAGCAACTGAGGAACATTCAGTCATACTTTCATCTGAACTGGCTTTAAAAGCAGTTAGATTTACTATTCTGTGAGCTGAAATGTACAGCAAAGCATGCTTTGGTCTGTGCCCTAACATCAGCTGGGATGAGGTCTTGTGGGAATGGGGACATCCCTGTCCACAACAAAATACATCTGAAGAAAAGTTGGCATTATGATTCTCCTTACCATGGGTTTTTTTTTATCCTCTGGGCTGGACTATATTAGAACTACAGTATCCATGACAGCCATGGGCAATGTGCTGCTGATGTGACAGCATATTACTACAAACTGGTTTTTAGGTAAGAAAAATGGGCAACTCTTATGATTTGCTATGAAGGCAGCTGTTGAAAAGATGTGTATCCATTCTGCCTTAGCCTTGATTTACCCAATATATGTGCCATACCACGATTTGATTTGAGCTCAGTGTGCTGTTAAACCAACCATGACTTATTGTGGTGAATGAACCCAGTCTTAGAGCCAAAGCAAATTGGATCAGGATGGTGTGCTTGCTTATTTTAATAGTTGTTATTTAAGTTCTAGACATTTAATCAGAAGAAATGGGGGAGGGGAACTTAGAAGCTTTGAATGTCTCCTGATAACAGTTGCTAGGAGATTGTGGGCTGATCTGACCGGTTGATGTGTAAATAAAGGTGAGGGACTATATAAATGGAACTACCCAATGTTAAAACAGAATTCTCTTTGGAATTTATTTTGAATAGACTTGTTTCAGATATATAATTTGTGAGATGGGTGGCATATAAAATTAACTGATTAGTTCACAGGCAAGGCAGTGGGCAGTGGAAAGCTAGCTCGAAGCTTTCTTTTCAGTCCATTATTGGGCCCAATTTGGAGTCCAACACCCTTTGTCATTCAGGTGTAGAACTCTGAACCTGTGTCTATTTTACAAAACTGTACAGCTTTCAGCAATATGAGTCATAGTATTTTTCCAGGACAGGACTATGATGCAGTTTTGCAGGTCCTTTCTTCAGAAACAAAACGTAAAAACTTGGGACTTTTTCAGAATACACAGTCCATGTTGTGCAAAGGTCATTGCCTGACTGTGTTGTTTCAAAGCAGAATTTCACTTGTTGGCACTTACATATAAAAGTGTTATAGTGATCAAACCACCAAGCTAGCAATCAAGAAAGCGGACGTTCTAGTCCCACCTGAAGCAAGCTGGATGATCTTGAGCCAGACATGCTCTCAGTTCTGGAAGAACAAAGCAATGGAAACCATTTTTGAGAAATATTGCCTAATTAATTACTAAAGCCTATAAAAGCTTTAAGCATCACAGACCAGACAGCACTGAAGCAGTCTTCTTCTGAAAAAGAAACTTGTCTGCAGTGATAGAATTACAATGAAACAGAATATGGTCCCTATATATCATTTAAAGCAGGGGTCGCCAACCTTTTGGACCTCAGGGACCACCAAACTCATAATTTAAAATCCCACGGACCAGAGACCCTGGGAAAATCCCAAAAGAAGTCTGCAGGAAAATACCCCACCCCGTTTTCCTACCGAACAATCATTCTTTATTTGGGATCATAGGATACCATCTCCATCTCCGTTCTCGGGGGGGGGGGGGGGGCAGAGAGACTTTTGGCTTCATGCAAGGAAAGCAGCAGAAGTCTTTCTTTCTCTCCCCCAAACTCCGCCAGAAATGGGTCTTTGTGAGACTTGTCATGTCGGTGCAGCCTCTTGGAGCAGGATGTCTTGCAGGGTCCCAAAGACTTATTTCTGGTAAGTTTTGGGGAGAGAAAGAAAGACTTTTGCTGTTTTCCTTACGTGCAGCCGAAAGCAGAAGAAAGAAGCAGAAAGAATAAGTCCGGTGGCCAAGCCAGGCTCATGGGGCAAGTTCTCCCCCGCCACCCTTTCTCCCCTCCCCTCACTACGTGTTGTTCACAATGCAAGAAACGCAAGCCTTGTCTTCCTGCAGGCCATATGGGTGGCGCAGCCTTGTGTTTCCACACAGCCTGGATTAATTACTTTGGGGGGTGTTTGAGGGGTGACATTTCTCTGTGGACTACCAAAATTTTCTCACAGACATCGATGGTCCCCAGCCCACTGGTTGGCGACCACTGATTTAAAGTACTGTTTTCCCAGTTGCAAGGTATACAGAGGAAGTGTGAAGAACCTTTTAAACAACCTGTGACCCATTCATCATCATTTCAGAGATATTTTGCTACTAAATAGAGAAATAGAACGATCATAGGCAGGCAAAAATGTAGTGGGAGTGACTTTTGACTTCCTGCTGCCTTCCCCACTGACTTGCCTTATAGGAAGCTGGCAGGGAGCACCACCTGACCAGGGCTGCATGGTGGTGAGACAGTGCAGAAGTACTGAAGTGGTCACAAGTTTTGCCAAATTTCAATCCCACAGGAGTCATGGGTCCTGGATTTGGGTGTGTTAGCCCATTTGAGATATATTGATTTGAAAACCGTTGCTCTGTGATGCACCATTTTGCCCAGTTGAAAGTTACAATTAGACACAAGAGTTTCAGTAGTATATAAATATACTCATCTTTCCCAAAATCTCATAAGTGTGTTTTAATTGTTCATATGTGTTCATTTTGGCATTTGTTGTTTTATGGGAAGTGTGTACATTAATAGAGTTGAGGTGGCAAAAAAATTAGGAACCTGAATTGAAGCGCACATAAATACAGTTCCTCGTCGTTCTGTGTCAAGCAGTGTCAGTTAATTTTGTTAACAGTGCATAATGTTTTGAATAAAATATACACAACAGTATAAAAATTAATTACCAAACACTTCAGCTAGCTAGGAAATGTCTCTCTGGAATTCCGCTGCCCACTGAAGACTTCTGACCTCTTCAATTTGGCAGGTTTTTCAGCTGTTATTTTTGTTTTGCTTTGTAAGCTCCACTTTAACTAATAAGTGTTTGGTCAGCATTGCATCCCAGAGTTCCACTTAGCATTATCTTTAGCCTGTAAAATATAATTTACTGCTGCCTACAGGGGAGGGGGTATGTGGTCAAAATATAACACAGTTTATCTATTGCAATTGCATTGACAACAAAAACTGGAGTTCAGCGTTACTGAGTAACTGTGAGAGGGATCTTGGAGTCTGAGTGGACAACCAGATAAATATGAGTCAGCAGTGTGCAGCAGCAGCCCAAAAAGTGAATGCAATCCTAAGTTGCATTAACAAGGGATACAATCAAGATCAAGTGAGGTACTTACACCACTCTAAAAAACCTTAGTAGGACCACACCTAGAGTACTGCATCCAGTTTTGGTCACCACACTATAAAAAAGATGTTGAGACTCTAGAAAAAGTGTAGAGAAGAGCAACCAGGATGATTAGAGGACTGGAGACTAAGGCATATGAAGAACAGTTGCAGGAACTGGGCTTGGCTAGTCTAGTAAAGAGAAGGACCAGGGGAGACATGATAGCAGTGTTTCAATATCTGAGGGGCTGCCATAGAGAGGAGGGGGTCAATCTATTTCCCAAGGCACCTGAAGGCCAGACAAGGAACAATGGATGGAAACTGAACAAAGAGAGATTTAACCTGGAAACAAAGAGAAACTTTCTGACAGTGAGAACAATCAACCAATGGAACAGAAGTTGCCCTCGGCAATTGTGGGAGCGCCATCATTTGAGACCTTCAAGAAGAGATTGGACTGCCATTTGCCAGAAATGATGTAGGGTCTCCTGCTTGGGCAGGGGGTTGGACTAGATGACCTACAAGGTCCCTTCCAACTCTGATTATCTGTTAAGAAGGAAAATAAATAATTTCATTTATTAGATTTCTTACACTGTCTGACTCTGGGCAGCATTCAATATTCAAAACAAACAGCTGAAGCATAAAAGTATACATCAGCATTCTTTCCAAACATATGTTTTGAATCCCAAGTAAAATAAAATAAAAATGTAGCTTTCTAACACATTGGGATACTTTTGCAATCAATGCAGATACAAGCCAGGTTGCTTTAGTGGTTAAGGCACTGGACTAAGAGCAGGGGATTTTGAGCTCTAATCCTTCTGGGAAGCCAGCTGGGTGCCCTTGAGCCCGTCACACCCTCTCAGCCCTAGGAAGCAGGAGACAAGGTCAAAATGCTTCTGAAAATACTGCCTAGAAAACCCCTGGCATTTGTCCTAGTAGCTGCCAAGAACCAAGACTGATTTGAAGGCAAGAAAAGAAAGCATTGTTATGTGGGTATCTTGCCTTGGTAGTATTCCATTTCTTCTTCATCTAATTTTTCTTTGGTAGAGATGATGAAAGATGCCAAACAAATAAAACCAAAACACTTTTTAAAACATGAAATAGACATTAAACGGGGATAGCAACTGGTTTAAACAACATGTAATATCATTTGCAAATTTCTCCCACCCCTGAAAATGCTTGCTCATCCTAACCCTTACAAAATAATGAGCAAAGTTGCTAAAAGCATCACAGCTCTTCCTTGTATAAAGACTTGCACAGAAGATCACAAGAATCTATCACTCATTAGCAAGGACTTTTTTTAAAAAAATTGTTACATTTATATGCTACCCATCTAAGGTGATTCTGGGTTTCACTACCAAGTCAGGAAAAGCAATGTCCATACTCCCCATGAAAAGACCCAGGGCCTCTGATGAGTAAAGGGATGAAAGGAAGGTTGAGATTAAAGTGATTAATCATTTCATATCTTGCTTTCTGCACTGGCAGCTCAGTCTTAAAGTTAAAGAGAAAACCACTTAATTTGATACGGCTTTCTCTAGAAGAATCACTTCCTCTTCTTTGCACAAAAACACTCATAAATTTTACATGGAATCTGCACCAGCTGTTTGCTCTCCAGATATGATCTGATGAATGAGGGAAATGGGATTGTTGTCCATCCCATCTGAAGGCAGCCACTGTGGTGGAATGTTGTGGACTGGATTGCCATGAGAGAGGGGTGTATTCCAGAGAAATAAGAGGCAGCTCACTTCAGATAGTGTGAGAAGAAGTAGTTGAGACATTGCCTCCTTAATAGTTCTCAGAGAATATGCCCAGTGTATATAGTAGAATGCTTTAGTCTGGCAAGATGCTGTCTATAGGTGTGGAAGAATAAAGAAATCTACTTGGAAGAATCAACAGGTGCCTTTCTTTGGTTTGGAGGGCCTCACAGCCAGGTAGAGAAGGAAAAACTTCTGCATGACAAATGTATACCAGGAGAAGAGAGGCAGGCATAGTCTTTCCCAGATAGAAAAAAAAAAAGTTTAATGTCTCCTTGCCAAAGTGAAGATTTAAAAAAACACCTGAAATAGTCTGTCACACCTTGATCTCAATGTTTACTTGGAAGCAAATGTCACTCACTTAAAATAAACATGTTTCTAAACAGGAATGAGCACAAAAAGCACGTTCTAATCCAAGAGAAACCTCTTCATATGGACTTTTGTATTCCATCCAGCCATATCCACTTTCAGAACACATTCTTGGTCTTGGAAGAAACTCCCGTCGCTTTATGTTCGGCATTGTCCCCAAACCTGCAGTGTTGGCTTGGGAGCATATCATAGTATCCAGAGATGACAAAAGAGCAAGCTAGTCTTGAACAGGAGGTCTTCTGCTTGGAGGAAGTAAAGCCAAACGAGCTTGATGGAAAAGCTGGGTCAGCCTGTAGAGGAAGGGTAGAGAAGTAGGGGATGCTAGGAAGGAGGGGAAAGAGAACAGAAGAAAAATAAAATTAATGCCATATGCTAATTTCCCTGTGGCTTCAATACACCCCCAACGAAACTGGGATCCTTTTGTGATATTGTTTTGAAGGGAAGCCTTCAAGCTTGATTTAATCACAGATAGGCAGCTATCTGTCTCAGATAGTCAGATCTGAGATAGGCAGATAGTCTGAATTTTTAATCAATCATTTCATCAATCAATGCTCACCCTGAGGGATATGGATTTTATCCCCTTACTCTCTCTTACTATTGAGGAGACACTATTAATCTTCTGAATTTGGATGTGTTTCTCTGGCAGAAAGCAGACAATCCAGAAGAACTCACAGAGGCCAGGAAAAAGGAAAGCCACAACATTGCTCTCCTAAGATTGTAATATAAGGGAAACATTCACAAGAAGCAAGGGGAAAAATACAAGGAGGCAAGTAGGAAACTTTAGCTTCGGGCATCAAGTCATTCTAAGGAAGTAACACATTTGCTATAAATACAGCATAAGATTATTTTAATTACATGTGTCTACTTTTTTTGTCTCCGACATTTATTACCTCTGAACAAACTCAGCACCTATGTGTATTGTTATGAAATTCTTAATCTTTAAATGAACTAGTATTCTCCTCATTAAAGCTTCTTATCATAATATTGCATTTTTTTCACTGTAACTAATTGCCAGCTGCTTTTCTTGGTAACTTGGATCAAATTAGTAATTGTAATAACAATCATGTTTGATTTCATTCAGCTCTTGTAAGATAGATCTATCTCCCAAGAGCTACAATTGATAGCCACATACCTTGAACTATTGTTTTAAGAAGTGGTACAATAGCATTTTCCTTTGATCAACCCATTTTTCGTTTACACATGATGAAGCACAGATTATGTGGATCTCTATCTATCTCACACCTTGAGATTAGAGGATATTAAGTACAATTATTTGTCTAAAGACATGTGGTGATAGGAGTACCTTCCAAAAACAAGATCCCAAGACCAGAAGATAGAGCCAGGATTTATTTTATTTATGCAATTTAGAGGCTACACAATTTCCAATCACAGTAAAAAAAGTAAGAATACCATAAAAAAGAGAGGGATTCATAAGCAGCCTGGAAACAGATATATGCAAGAAAGAAGAAAGGAAAAATAAAAAAAACCAACAGGGGCTCCACCATCAATCAACTCCAATATTTGGGAGATCAGATGGTTTTCAATAGCTTCCTGAGCATCATCAGAGTGGGAGTTACCCAGAAACCTTCTTGGTTCACACATTGTGCCATTGTCTAATTACTCATTTTCTCCACTTTCTGCCCCATATTCCTCGTTGTCTTCAGACAAGAAACTATATCTCTAGATGCTTCTTTTTCCTCTGTCCCCTACCTGGGTCAAGCCTCACTACAATGAGACACAACAGGAGGGCCGCCAAAAGTGTCTTTTTGAAGGGGATAGAACTGAACTGGCTTGCCAAAGACTCCAGCAGTCTTCTCAACTGGACCAAGATGGTCAACATCCTTTGAGACACTGAACCTGAAACACAAAAGAAAATTCACAAGGGAAAATGACAAGGACCAAGAACACCAAAACTGAGCTTTCTCGTTTCATTTTTTTTAAGATGAATGACTTTATATATTTTCTTTGAGGTTTTAATGGAGATTCTTTAAAAAAAAAAAAAGAACTGTCATTTAGTGTGTTATTTATATAACCTAGATTTATTATAGTAGCTCCTGACATTCAAAGTTGAACTAAATGTGTAAAAGGGTTTGCTTTACTCAGTTTTTTCTAAAATATCTCAAGATTGGATCTATAACTGTCTTGTTCATTGTTTTTAAACAACTGCATAATTGTTTAACAGGCACACAAAGTTAATTTCTTCAAAGTATGTCAAACATTTCCTGGTGAGTTTGTTAGACAGCAATAATCATAGTTAATCAAATTAAGAAACTGAGGTTTTTTTATTCTGAAAAAAGGTGTAACCTATCTATTCCACTAATTAATCGGCTGTAATAGGACAGCTTTATTACCCCTTATTTACACTAGCCCTGTAGAATATAAATTACACCATTCTTGTTTGGAGTTCAGATAACATGTTACACTTTAAAATACTTGGGCTCCTTATGTGTAGCTGTGTTCTTCAAGATTATTAATCACTGTTAGATTATCTGTTCACCTGGCCTAATACCAGTTCCTCTTAGTGACAGTGATACTCTGTAATTCCATCCTGGGATCTTTCTTTTTCCTTTAACTAAAACGGTAAAGGATTCAACATACAGTCATACAATGTTTCATGAGTCATCTGTATACATCTAAACTAAGGTGAATGGACTCTATTGTAGACCTGTTTTTGCTTCTGATTGAAATTGTCGTAGTTTCCATCTGCCTCAAGGAGAGAATTACTGGGAATCAAAAGGCATATAAATTAAATTTATTATTATGACAATTAGCACATCCAGATGCTGTGAAATACGAAGAGCCAATCTATGTGATGCAAAGGGAGAGAGATGACTACGGATCTTTTCTCTCCTTGAACCTGCTCAACAATTTTATCAAGAAAACTCTCTGCTTGTGCCATCAATCACTGAGATGTATAAGGCTCTTGCCTTGAGCAGGGGGTTGGACTAGAACCGTGACGGCGAACCTATGGCACATGTGCCACAGGTGGCACGCAGAGCCATTTGTGCTGGCACAAGAGCTGTAGGCAAACTTACCTCACTGGGCATATGCGTGCCTCACAGCTGATTTCAGCCTGTTTGAGGCCTTTTTCAGCCTCCCAAAGGCTTGAGGAAGGCTTCTTCAGGCTTCTACAAGTTTTGTAGGCTGAAATCTAGCCCCGTTTTGTCACTTCCAAAACGGGGCTAGATTTCGGCCTACAAAGTTTGTAGAAGCCTGAAGAAGCCTTCCTAAAGCCTTTGGGAGGCCGAAAAAGGCCTCAAACTGGCCGAAAATCAGCCGTGAGGCACAGTGCAAATAGGGGGGTGGCGGGGGGGTAGGATTGCGTGTGCAAATGTAGGGGGTGTGGGGGGGCATACATTGCCTTCTGGGTGCTGGCACGCGAGCACGAGCGTGCAAGCACATGCACAATTTTTGGCACAGGAGCCCAAAAAAGTTAGCCACCACTGGACTAGAAGAATGCTAAGGCCCCTTCCAGCAATACGATTCTGTGTTCTATTGCATGTATCTAAGGAAACAGGACTGCCAGAACACAAGCTGGTACCACTGCCTTAGCGCAGGGGTCTCCAAACTTGGCAACTTTAAGACTTCTGGACTTCAACTCCCAGAATTCCTCAGCCAGCATAGTTGGCTGAGGAATTCTGGGAGTTGAAGTCCATAGGCCTTAACGTTGCCAAGTTTGGAGATCTCTGCTTTAGTGCAAGCTCAATGCTCATTGCAGGCAATGGTGCAAATGATTTCATAAGACCAGACAGAATGTTTAGACATTCAGAGTTCCATCTACAAGAATCCTACCCAACTGCAGCTTCCAGGACATCTCTGGCTGCTCCTCAGGAATTGGAGGTGCTTCTTTCTGTAGCCACTGATGCTGTTTCTCTTGAAGGGTTTTGTGCATGTCTTCTCGCTGCTCCTGGCTCAAAGCTTTGCAACCTTGGATCAGCTCCTCTGCCTCTGAAAAGTGTCCGAGTGGCAAGAGCACATGGAAAAGATAAAGCTGAGCCAACAGGCCATAACTTGACAGGTTCTGATTGGATGGGCAGTATAACCAGTCCCCACCAACATCTAACATCACATGAGGTTCTTCCACTTTGCTATGGAGGAGGATGCTGAAAGAGAGTATACAAATAACAGTTTAAGTCATATTTAAGACATTCATATTTCAATTGGACATGTCTTAAGACATTCAAAAGTGCCATATACAAAGTACCAGTAAGATGTAACCTCCATGGGCCCCATTGGATGCAAGATTGAAATAATTAGACCTCCTAGCTTTTATTTAAAAAAAACAAAAAAAAGAAATGGGGAAGTTAGCAAAGTGAAGGATGTGCCTCCAGCAGAATCTATTTCCAGAAATTCTTAGGGTTTAATATGAATTCTCAGAATATTGAAAATAATGAAAAGGCTTAGTTTGACCATGTACCTATCAGGAAAAAAAAAGACCAAATCAGATAGTTGCGTACTTCCTAAGAAGCTAGAAGATCCTGGGGTTCAGCTAAAAGAATTATCCTGTATAGGTGTGTGTGTGGGAGATAACTTTTTGCAAGACTTGTTACCTAGGCAAAGGAGGCCAAAACATTATTTAAGTCCCAGGAGACAAAATAATATTCAGAACTAGCTCGGGTAAAAGTCTCCTTGATTCACTGGGATATAAGACATTGTTGGGGGAAGTGATAGCACAACCAGATGTGCAAGATTCAGGTATTATGTCAAACCTCAATCAAGTGTGGCTCTAGTCTTCCTATGGAGTTGATTTTCTGGTCTTTCTACCTAATACAGGGGTCTGCAACCTTAAACACTCAAGAGCCATTTGGACCTGTTTCCCACAGAAAACACCAGGAGCCAATAATTTAACAACAGGTGTGACTGGATGCTCCTGGTCAACTCTACGTCACTTACTCCCACACAGTCACCTCCTGTTCTGGAATATAGAGCGAGTCTCCATCCCCCACCATCACCCTTACCTTCTCAGGCAAGGCAAGGAGTGACGGGGAGGGGAGGGGCCAGCCAGTGGAGGGATCAGCCAACTGGGAGCCGCAGCAAAAGACCGAAAGAGCCACATGTGGCTCCAGAGCCGCAGGTTGCAGACCCCTGACCTAATGGCAGCTGGCAATAGATGGAAAGAAAACAACTGTCCGAGATGTCAACAACTGGATTCAAGAGATGTCTTTGCTGACTTTTGAGGTGTCTTTCTATGGTAGAAATGAAAAGATAGGTTTTTGTGTGGTGTATATTTCACTAAAGAACTGAACCAGGGGCATCTTATTATAGAAATATTTTTTTCTTTTTTCCCAAAGTCAATCAATTCCCCACTGCCCACAAAGGTGCAGTACTCTCATGCCTCCAATGCCTCTAGGCCTCACAACCACTGCCAACTCCAGCATGCCAGGTGTTCCTCTGTGTCCTGCTATTGTTTTTCATTTATCAATTTGGTTTCTTCCCCTCAACAAGCTGGGCAAGTCTGCTTTTGTTCATTATTATAATTATGATCTAGACAGACATTATTGTTTATTACTTTCACCTGTTAATAAGCAATTAAAAAAAAACAACCTAAAAATTATGTTGGACTCATGTATTGAATGATGGCTTATTTTCCCAGTATCCAAAATTGTTATCAACATTCTGGATGTGTCAATGTGCCCAAATGTTCCTATGTAATAACATAAAGATAGGAAAACCTTTTCTTGCTATGAACTAGGTTCCTGTGAAGATTATTTGGCACAAGCCAATAAAGTTCTTTTTCTTTCTTTCTCTCTCTTTCTTTCTTTCTTTCTTTTTCTTTCTTTCTTTCTTTCTCTCTCTCTCTCTCTCTCTCTCTCTCTCTCTCTCTCTCTCTCTCTCCCCACAGGATGCCAGAAATCTGCTAGAAATCTGCTCTTAATAGGGACCTGATGTTTCCCACCTTATTTCCCGAAGTCCATCTTATTTTCTTCCTTTGAGTATTGGTCACCTGCATGAAATCACACTGAGGATACCCACTACAATATAGTGGACTGAGTGCATGAGAGAGAGGTTAGGTTTCACTTTGCCTGGATCATGGTCTGCACTGGTTGACCATAGCCAATCATCTCTTTTCAGCTTAACCCACCTCACAAACTTATTATGACCATAAAAATGAGGTAGCCTTGTATAAACCATCCTGAGCTGCTTGGAGAAAAAACAAACATGACTGCAGAAAAATAATAAAAAAAACTCTCTAGTGTATTTAGCCAACCATGCTACTGTAAGATAATTTAAAGCGGTACATTTTTGCTTCAACAGCTAAAACAATTTAAGTACTTGCTCTTAAAAGGTTAACCTCTAGGACCACAATGATTTGAGGTTTTCTAAAAATTGGAATTGCGTCCCTACTGAAGATTAAAAACTGTCTCAGCGAGTGTAGAAAAATCTAGTCTCAACTCATTCCTGATTTAAGCATTATTCCTCTAAAAACATGACAGAATTGTTGCCTATTATTAAATTAAAAATCAGGAGTGACATGCCTGGAAGTACCCATAATTCTAGTGTAAGATTAAGTTGTAAACATTCTTGATATTTAGGTGGGAGCTATTTATACAACCTAATATTCCTCCTTAGGATGGAACAATATCTGTTTTGCCATTCAGATGCAGAAAAAGGGGACTCACCAGAGCTCCAGAATTTTGGGAGGCCAACATTTGGGTTTGTGGTAATACTGAAGAACCCATGGGATGACTTCTCTCCATCGATCCATTTCAGCCAAAGCTTGGATGCCAACAATACACAGAGAGCATTTCAGATCTTCAGAGTTGGATCTGCAAGTCAGATAACACTTTATATATGTGTATTGGGGTACAATCAAAAAAAGCAGAAAAACGGCAGTCCTATAACCAATCCAACTGCAATCTCTGATCCAATTCTAAGGGTAGATCAGATTCACATAAACCACTAAACCACAGTTTGCTTAACCAACCACATTAGGGTTTATGACATAAATCAATCATTAAAATTCATTTTCCAGTTTACAAATCTGCTAACAGAAAGCTTGATTTTTGTACTGAGTGTGTGCTTGGTTTAGATTTGGCAATACAAGTAAATAGTCTTTGACTTATGACCAGCTGCTTAGCAACCACTCAAAATTAAGCCTGGCTCCCAAAAGGTACTTACCATCTGGTTCTGAAGTTCCCACAGCATCACATCTTGCAATTATGTGACTACTTGTCAGGGGGACTCAGCAACCAGACTGCCTTTACAACTGTTTGCAATGTCCTATACTCACATGACAGTTTAATGATTTTTTGCCAAAAACCAGCATGTATTTCCGGTTTTGACAAAAATGCCCCATAACTAGCAATGGGTTCACTTTACAACTGCAGCAGTCACTTTACAACTGCTGCAAAAAAGGTCACAAAATTGGGTCAGTCATGTGGGTGACTGTTCTGACCAAGGCTTCCTGAGACACCAACAAACACACATTAAATCTAAAACCCTTTTATTTTAGTTCAACGGCTGTGAAATTCATAGCCGTAATGAGTGTCAACCAGTTATAAATAGTCCCCTGGAAGTCTGCCAAAGTCCTTCAGAAGAAGTCTGATAAGAATGCACCACTATCTTTCTTGAAGTGCTGCTAACAACTAAAGTACCAATTACTTCCACTTCCATCCCTATTCCAGATAAATAAAAATAAATAGATATAAAGCATTCCCTTAAAAGCAGAGATAAGAAAGTAGGTTTTGCCCAACTCCAATTCTCCAAACAATAAATAATAAAATGGATGAGTCAAGTAGTCCAACAGCATCTAAAAAAAACACCTGTTGTGAAGAACAATCAACTCCCAGCCGGTTCTGAATGCTCACTCTTCATTCCAGTTGGCACCTACCCGTCAGAATCGCCATCGTTTTCCAAAAGGCTCTGGCAGCCTTTCTCACATCTGTCCACCGCTGCAGCAAAGTCCCTGTCCAAAACCAGGAGTTCAGCCGCTTCCTCTAACAAGGAAACTGCTCGGGGTGCCGCTGGAGAGAGAAGGCTGGGCTCGCTGCTTCTTAATAGGCCCCTTGCCCTGGCGACGGCAGACAACATCACCGGCGAATCGTTCTTCATTATGGCATGGTCCTCAAAGTCAGCCCTGCTGGAAGCCTGGGAAAAATTTACACAACAGGGCGTGGATCAGTTTTGGAATTTGATTTGATGATTATTTGGATTCTCCTAATATATTTCCACGCCTACCCTACCCCGGTCCATGCAATTAGTTGCTAACAAAGAAGAGGATTGCAACAGCTAGCACTGTGTCCTACTAAAAGATTTCACCTTGCAGTCTTCAGTACCCAAGAGGCCGAACAGCGATAACGATCTGCACAAAGCGAAAGGCCAGCTCCAAGTGTAACTAGGATGGTTTATTGACTCTTGATCCTTGTCCCAAACCTTTTCCTCTCCCCTCTAATAATCCTTGCAAAAACAACCGAAACGCGCTTGCTTTCGTCACCACTGGTGACGAAAGAGATTCCAGCAGTCCCGTCTCTGCTTCCCCGGGACGCACAAAGTGCGTTTTCTGCAGCAAAGTCCGGGTGCCTTTTGTTTTCAGTGCAAAAAATTGTAGAAATGTGAAAGGAAAAAGAAAAAAAAAAAAGGCTGGCAGAGGAATTCCGGACTACGAAAACCAGAAGGCTCCTCTTACAGGAAGTAGTTTAAAATGGGAGGAGCAGGAAGCGGGTTGAGATTCCTACCGTAACGCGAAAACTTAATTTGTCTTTATTTTGCGCTTTTGTTGTTGCGTTGTGCGAATACACTGTGAGGGAGGGTTCAGTGAGTCTGCTTTTTCTAAAGGTTCCTCAGATCTGATCTTTCTGGGTTTTTTAAAAAAATTCTTCATGCTCCAATATTGATATATTTCCATTCCAGTCCCTTCCGCCCAAATTTCTAATTAGCAACTAATTAACTCAGTCTATCCTAGGTTTACCTTATTTTCTAATTTAGGTAAACTGGTTTATGTTCATAATTTGGGTGGCTGATCTGACACGAATACACACGATGGACTTTCAGTGAGATGTGTGCTTTTGAGGAACTTTTATTCCGTCTCCTCGTTTTACCTAGAAAAAAAAAAATTACTTAGAAAAAAAAAACTGGTTTGTGTGAGATAGTAGGCTTACATGAGGTTCCCCAATTTGGGGTCCTGTTTAGTAAAAGAACCAACGAAGTCTGGTCTGGTGTTTCTCAACTGTAGCAAGTTTAAGATATATGGATTTCAACTTTCAGAATTCTTGAGGGGGTGGGGGGGTTTGAAGTCCACCATCTTAAATTTCCCAAGATTGAGAAGCTCTGATTTAGGAAACTTTGTATTAAACTACCTTTGCAAGCAGGTGTTACTATCCAGAGGGATTCGTAGGGGGGGTGGGGGTGGGAAATATACCATTGAGATTTTGGGACGGTGTTGACTGGGGATTATGGGAGTTGAAGTCCAGTATATCTGAGGGCACCTGTTCTCTCCTTAATGGCTGAGAAAAATGCAATGAAGTTTTTAGATGAGGGGTCTTCAAACTTGACAGCTTTAAGACTTGTGGACTTCAACTCCCAGAATTCCTCCTCCAGCCATGTTAGCTCAAGAATTCTGGGAGTTGAAGTCCACAAGTCTTAAACTTGCCAAGTTTGAAGACCCTTGTTTTAGATAAATGTAGGATGTCTAGCCACTCCTCTAGAAGTGAGCTGTATCTCATGAAAGTTATGTCTTTCGATATGATTTATTAATCCGGAAAGATTCTTTCAGACTCCTGATTTTTGGCTATAGTAGGCTAATATTGCTGTTCTCTTACAAGGAGTAGAAGATGCATTTGTTCTTTCTGGTCACAAGGTGTCACTCCAACCATACGTTGCATTGAATTAAATTTAAAAATAAGAAAATAAGACTTGATGAAAATAAGACTGAGTAGCATGGATCATAGCATAGAGGATTATATTAGGTGGATTTCCATAACACACTAGCCTAAATCCCACTTTGGGCACATTATGCCAACATCCAACTCTCTGAAGAAGACACTAAGGTTGGAAAGGTGGAAGGAAAGAGGAGATGAAGACAAGCAAGATGGATGGTTTCAGTTACAGTAATGACAACCTTTAGACCTTCAATAGGTTAGAGATAAATCACCATGGAGAAAATATATGTGGTTGCTAGACCAGGTGGCACAAAATCAAGTCTATGTTGTATGACTGTACATATAAATTCAGTATACACTGTGATGTATGTATGTATGTATGTGTGTGTGTATATGTATATATTTTGGAGAAACGATGACTATTTGGCAAAACTTGATTTAAGTCCAGGATAGGAAGAAAATATTAGAAAGAAACTGTACTTAGTTTTGCCTTAGCTCCCTGCAGTAGAAGGGGAAAAGAGGGAATATATTATGACGCTTCAAGATGAATGCCAGCTCTTCAAACTGGGGCCAGATCAGGAAAAAGATTCTACAAAGTATAATGAAAGTCAACTTAATTGATACAGGTTATCATAACAGAATTTGAAAGGCTGATGGGATTTTCCATCCCTCCTCCTTATGCTCTTCTTTTTTATTTTTTCTTCCTGTTTTTTGCTTAAGTCGTGTTTTGCTAACTGCTGTGGCCTAGTCCAAGATCATCTCTATAGCTCTTGAGAATAAGCCAGATGTGTGCTTGTCAATAAGATCCTGCAAAATATTATCAGGATTATACTTTGCTTGGAGAATTAGAACTGATCAACCTTTTCCTAATTGTTTAGCAGGTCGGAATTGAACTCCTGGCAGTCAGCAGAATTAGCCTGCAATAGCTGAATAGCTGAATTAGCCATAGAGATATTCCTAGAAAATAAAGTAATTACTGCATGATCCAAGTATAGATTTTTGTGAATGGCTGTACCAACAACAGCATCTGTTTTGTGAGACGACATGGCATGCTCTCAAAATTCCAAATATATCTTTAAGGGCATTTTGCATAATTTCTCATCCAATCCAGCCAAAAGTTAACATATCTTTAAAACATATCAATTGCAGAGAGACAAAGCTATTGCATGTGTTAAATTTTCCCACTGGGATCAATCACTGCCAGTGTGAAAGAAGAATTTTGTGTAACAGACAGATTGTCATTCAATATTTCGAATACAAGTTCATTTCATAAAAGGTACTGACTCACCTTAATTGTAGAACCATCAATCCAATTGAGAATTTTCTAAAGTAGTGCTATTGAAGAGATTAGTGACATTTTCTGTCATGCCAGATAATTGTTTTGCACTAATACAATAAATACTGCAGGGAATGCAGATTTTCCCATTTCCTCTATTGTCCTACAGAGTGTAGTGTGGGACCGCACAAAATCAACTGCTTGATTTTCGTGACACCTAGATTAGTAATCTAATATTAGAGTCTGAAATAGGAGCAGGTAAATATTATCATCAGCACAATCACATGGTAAGCCGCACAAGGCCAGATGTTCCTTTTGGAAAGACAAAAGGATCCCTGGGGGCGGGGGGGAGAAGGAGCTAAGCTAAGGAGACCCAGTTAGAATAAAGTAGTTCAAAATACAGCAATAGACTTATATCCTGCTTCACAGTGCTTTTACAGCCCTCTCTAAGAGGTTTACAGAGTCAGCATATTCCCCCAGCCTTCTGGGTCCTCGTTTTACTGACCTCGGAAGGATGGAAGGCTGAGTCAACCTTGAGCCTGGTAAGGTTTGAACTGCCCAATTGCAGTCAGCAGAAGTAGCCTGCAGTACTGAAGTCTAACCACTGCGCCACCACAGCTCTAATGCTACATTTTAATATGTTTAATATTAATATTTAATATTTTTCACCTAAGCACAATATTTTATATTACTTTGAAAGAAAATCATGATCAGCCTTTAAAATTTTACTCAGTACTCCCAAAGGTGATTTCCAAAAGGCAACTGGACTTTCTTGATTGTTTTCTTTGAAAATGTTTCACTTCTCATCCAAGAAGGTTCTTCAGTTCTGCTTCTTGGATGAGATGGGCCAACCAGGTTGTAGGTTTGGAACAACCATGTCCTAGATAATTGAGAATTTCCACAGACACTGGGTACTGATTGCATCGTACTTATCTCCTCCATTAACCCCATATTTTTGAATTTAAAAGCACAATTTTCTGTCCATGCATGATTTCCACCTTTACCTGTCCACCTGTTTTTAGCTGCTTTTATGTTGTTTTCTAGTTTTGCACACCACCCAGAATCTATTGGAACATTTTTAACATTTTAATTTATTTGTTTATCAAATTTAGGTACTCCCCATCCTCTCAGTGACTCATACATTGATATGGAAACCTGGGCCATACATTGAATACAGAAACCAACATCTGTTGGTCAACTGAAATCAGACTGATCTAGGTCTCCAAATCAGGGATTCATTTTAAAACCTATCTGAACCTGTTTCTCCCACCACCCAAAGCCGAATTTGCCAGCACCCAGACAACACCCAGGGACAGGAGGAAGAGGATGTTTCCATCCCAGCCTAAACTAGCTCAAAGGTTACCTGACTGCACTACAGCCAGTGATGCTTAATGAAGTACCTCAGATTGTTCCGTGGCAAAACCTGTATCAGTTTAGGTGGCTAAACATTAGTTTAAGGCAGGTAGAGATAGGATTGGTTCATATTTGAATTGTGAATGAAGACAATATCACAAAGGCACAGTGGGAAAAATATTTCCTGGGAAATGTTTGTGTTTCAGTTAGATACAAATAAGGAATGTATCCAGGAGGCATATATTAACTCCCTGTTTTTCTTGAAGCCCTTTCAAAATGCAATATTTAAAGTCAGAGAATAATAGTGTTAATTGCATTACATTATATTTTATTTTAATCAGAATTCAGTCAAATATAGATTTTTGTCTGAGCTCTGCTCATTTTTCAGCTCCAGCCCTACTGATTTTGTCATGGATTTCCATACTACACAAAATTGGCAAGAAGCCTAACTTTAATCTGGATTTAAACCTTCCTTATATATTCAGAGGTATAAACTCTCTTGCACTTTTATCTATCTGACAGCATGGGTGAAGTTGCCTTGTAACTTATTTTTTAGTGTTCAGACTGGAAGAGCTTGAGGGCAATAACTCGGAGCAACTACAAAAGGGTTAATGAAAGCTTGCTTTGCAAAAGCTTGCAGTTTTCTGCAGTTGCTAGGAGACCTTGCCCAAATCTCCAGAGTGGATCGGCTAATTAAAGATCATCCTGGTGATGAAATGCTCCTGCCTTTGTATCCCATTGGCCAATGCAACTGTCATTCCAATTTCTACTTGAGGAATAGCTGAACTGATTTCGGAAACTGAATCTTAGGTGCAGATATATGTCTATAAATTATATATAAATTAAATACAGATAATATTGCAGCCACCTTTCTGAAATTAGGAAAACCTCAGGCTTCTGTCTGGTGAAACAGATGAATGTTGAAATATGTGGTGATAGAAGGATACTAGAGTTCAGTAAATGTAACAGATACAGGGTGAATTGGACCATCTACATTTGTAAAAGTAATCTTTTGTATTTACTTACGTAAAAGCTGTTGCAAACAAGAAATTGTTAGATAATTTCTGAAAGTGATTTTAATTTCAAAACCATTTTTTTATTTTGAAGCTACACATTAGATGCATAGTCTTTCTT